GGGTCAATTTTTTGGGACACCCTGTATATCACCTGACTTCCTAAAGATAATTATTTGGTAGGCCAGTCAACAAGAAATACCTTGATTACATATTTCAGGTAGATTACATCGTTGGGCTAATCGAGCTGAAGTCACTTTCATCAAAAAAAGAGCACCACGGACTTTGCCATTTCGTTTCGTATCCTCGAATGGGTGAAAGGTATGGATAGTTCCTTACCACCGATTGAACCCTAGACACGCTAACCCACATATTGATACCCCAAAAAAGTACCGATGACTATATGGTAAATCATACTAATGATGACCCTGCCGAGAAGCAAAATAACGATCGTCGGATTGGCGGGAAAGTCGGTTTAGTGATGGTATGCTGACCAAATTGACCCCTTTTTTCCAGAAAAATCTCCCAAATCTTCTTATCCCGATTTGTTAATTGGCGCGAAATTCTGATGCCAACTAAACGGTTTCTCGAGATTCTGGCCCAAGGATTCAAATTTCGCGGGTTCCGATCCCGGCATGAAGGGGGCAAATCTATTAGCCGAGCGACCGTAAGAATCCCCGCCGGAAATAATAACTCTTTTACGGCAGAATTTTCGTGCATACCCAATTTTTCTCGTCGGTCCTGACGATCGTAAATTGGAGGAGGCCTTGGAGATGGAACCGTCGATTTGAGTGAACACTGAACACGGTATTGCAAGTACACCGTATTCAGGGGCCGTGTTACGATATGTAATTCGGGGCTCTTTTCGAGCAAAGCCCTGTTTTCGGTCCAAATTCTATTTTCTTGCGGCCCAAACCATTGCTTCGGTTGTCGTGAATACGTCCGAGTGGCCTTCATGAAAAACGGCTTCGGATTCATCGTCGATAGGGGTCGAAACGTCGGCTGCCATCTTCTTCAGCAGCCTCCAATACCCGTGGATTTTTGGCAGAGAATGAAGACGTCACGTTTGAATCCCATCAGATTACCACAAGTACGACAAATAAAAACATTTTCATGGGTTGTTAAGAAAGCGGTGTTTCTAAAGTGTCTTTATTTCAGGTGCGCTGATCATGTGCACTTTTTCAACTCGACCGTCTGTTTGACGACGATTCAGGGAGGAGCGGTTCAACTGCATCTTAACAGTCCCGACGGCGATGAATATTTTACGTAAGTTTTCTAACAAAGAAATATGGAAAAGTCCAGGCCTTTGGTCGCCCTTTTACCTGCCAACCGCTCATTCATTCTCTTATCTATCTCGCCTCTCGCTCTCTAGTTTTCTCCTTGCTATCTCGCTCTCTCTTCCGCGACATCAGGTAGTAAGTATTGCTGGCACCAGGATCCTAGGCGTTACAGACTTGATTATGACAATCTTGGCTCCGAGTTTACTGTCCTTGCCAACCGTTTCCGAGGTAACCTTAAGCTCTACTCTCCCTTACCCATCACAGGCCATTTTCAACCCGAACCTAACAACCGACGCGCCTTGGGGCTATACCCTCGAAATTTTCAACAATCCTCGTGGAGCGCTATGCGGACAACTGCACTCGTTTCTACGAGCTGACCCCAGGCGCACCTTATGCTGCCGTCAACGAGATTTCGTTTGAGGACTTGCGAGTTTAAAAGGATGTTGTGAGGCATCCCTTATAGAGAAACCCTGAATATTTGCGTGGGTACCGCCGGTTTTCCGGATGCGCAGAGGATTCGAATCACATTTTGTGTTGCTGGCACCAAGACGGGTTTTGATGCGAATGGGCCCAGCTCAAGGAACTTTGCCGAATGCCCGGAACAGTGAGAAGACAGAAGGGATTTTTGAAACTCTTAGGACACCTATCACCTTACAAATCAGTCGTGTTGTCAACAGACAATTGCCATAAAAACGGCGAATTTTATGCGATACACGACCAGACGCAGACAAGCTGGCTATTGCTACTACTGCAGCTGGAAAGTGTGATACCGGGTAGATTTTAGTTAATTTTAAAAAATGGAGTTTCTCTTCAACCGCGAAGCGGTTTTTAACGGTTTCTGTTAGAACAGAAGCAGAAATATGCGTTGTTCAATTCAGCCAACAGTAAAATTCTAGGAGACTACATAATAACGCCGATATCCGGCGTGGAACTATACCACCGCACTTTCACCGTCCCGCTAAATACCGAAAACGCCACGCAACTGGTGTTGATGTGTCGATATAATTTGGACTTCTGGATGCAGTTATTCTATTTTCAATGGGCAATTTGCGCCATTGACAAAGATCTCACCCTTTTCAGACGCATGGCCCAGGCACCTGCGAATATCGCCTGTATAGCGGAGCCGTTGTAAAGGATGAGCCTGAAAAAGCCCTCATCACCTTTAGGTCAGTTCTAGGCTCAAAAAATTAATTTTTGAAGCATTGAAAATTCGCATCACTTTCCCCAGTTTTAGGGACAGCGATACGTTCTACCCACAACTCCCTTACTGGGGATACCTTTTCAATTTTCGTCCCACCCGGCTGCACCCCGACACTTGTCGTGCGCGAAATCAGTCAGTCACTGTACTTTCCGCCTGAGTACTGTAGCTGGGGCACCGCTGCACGTCCCAAAAACCCGCATTTTTCAGATTTGGACAATAGAACCGACGAGCAGTGTCGCGGAGACGTTTTTAACATCGGTTTTGGGTACGGGGACCCGATGCATCTTCAAGATTGGTGGACGGTTAACTACGAATGGACATGGCATTGTTGTAGGTCTAATTGCGAACAACTTTTCCGCCTTTTGCTGGATGAATGAAAACCCATACATTTTCAGTTACTACCGTAAATTTACAATTTGAACTCGTGGATTTGATTACTGGCGAGCTGTCCATAAACGTCCGAGACGAGAATAATCGAACGGTTGATGGCGGAAGGTAAGAAACTTTATAAAATTGGATCCTTTTATGTTCAAAAGTCATTTTTAAAGTTGAAAAGAATTATAGTTTCCAAAAGGCATAATTCGTAGTTTTTTGCAAATTCCGAAAAATCGAATAGAATCGCTTCTACAAGGCCATAATTGCCAAAAGCGCCTCATCAAAAGCTGTTATTTTAGGCATTTGTTCATTTTGACATCCAAAAGTACGTCTCCAAATTATAAATTGCACAAGCACACTTCGAAATAAGCCTTTTCGTGCCAATTTCAGTCTTGACTTCCGCCCTGGCCCCTCAACATCGCCCCGAAATATAAGTTACGCCGGTGTCACTGCAATTACGGTATGCGCCTGCAGTCTAAATTAGCGTAAAGCCAAGATTTTCAGGTAAAATGGACAAATGGGGTGCCAAGTCCGCCGGGGGCCCCTACCGGTTTCCTATCACATATCCACCTCGACCTACTGCTTCCAAATACCGTCCCACCAGCCACCACCAGCCCTTCGAAAAGTTGTCCGTGTTATTTTGTGCCCAGCCGCTTTTTGGCTGCGTGGATTACCATCTCATTATTCCGGTCATAAAATATAGAAACTTGAAAATTTGCAGGTTCGAAAGTATAATACTAGATAAAAAAATCAAGGGTAAAAATCGAAAAATGTGATCCCTTAAAAGTCACATTTTAAGAAAACAAGTTCCGTTTCCTGGCCATTTCCCTATGTTCTCCTGAAATTTTTTGAAGATCGACACCAACGCATTTGTTGTAAATGTAATGACGCAGGCGTGCGACAGCTTATTTTTTGATAACGAGACCGGGGAGAGAGGGTCGACAAACGGGAACCTATCTTCTTCCCCCTCAAAAAGCGACCCCGGAAGTCAGTCGATGAAAAGCGGCTTTATTCGATTATCAGCAATTCCTTCATGCTACTTGGGATTATTTTTATTGCTTCTTGTGACATTGGTGCAAATCGGATTTTGTGGTGTCGATCAGAAGGTGTTTGAGTTGACGCAGGAGAATCCTTACGCGTTTCATGGAACGGCGCTCAAGATTAAGGGGGTATAATCAACACCTTTTGGCTCTTAATTGAGTTATTTAGAACATTACCATTGTTGGTTGTAAAAAATGTCACTTACTGGTCACTTATTCGGTCAGAGGGATGTAAGGATGAACTGGGCAAAAAGGTATATTAAAAAGAGAGATAGAGAGAGAGAGAGAGAGAGAGAGAGAGAGAGAGAGGAATGAGAGAGAGAGCGAGAGAGAGAGAACTAGAGAGAGCAAGGCTGAAAATGCCACATCTATCTTTCAGAAATACCCGAAGGAAAAGCCGAAACGCGTCGTCTGTCACGATAAATTACCATTCACCTTCAATTACCAAGATCTCGGGGTAAAGGGGTGCAAAAATGATGTATGCCATGCTTTTTACGGCGCTCCTTAAGCCACCTTTAGACCGGTCGACAAGAAATTCCTCGATTTCATTTTCCTGTGTAGTTACATTGTAAAAGCCGATCAGGCTCTCGTCGGGTTCCTCAAAAAGAGTACAACAGATTTTGCGATTGCGGTACGGGTGCGAGAATGGGTTGATGGTACTGTAAAACCATTTATCATTTGATAACGGTAATTTCAGATACGTTATTTTATGGTTTATTACCTGCCAAAAGTACCGATGACTATATGAAATATTTTATTATGTTGTTACCTCCAAGAAGCATTCTTACGATAGTTGGAGTAACGGAAAAGTATGTTTTTATTGGCTGAATTTTAGTCGTCGTTTATTTTAGAAAACTTTCAAAATCCACTTATCCGGACTTGATAGCTAATGCAAAATTCTACAGGAATCAAGCCGTTTTCCAAGATTTGGCATATTTAATTGAAGTGTTTGCCGGTTCGGATCCGGGCAATAACACTCAAAATTGTCTATTGGAACGACCGTACGTTTTAAATCGGAAAACAACTTACATTGGCTTGCTTTTCAAAACGCAAACTTTTAGGATCCTCACGTCAAACCAATTTTTTTCCAATGTAATTACCTTTACAAATCGCTACGATCACCTAAACCTTGAATTTTCCGGGTACTTTAATACGGAACATGGTATGACTTACTACCAAAAATTAAACTATATAAATCACTCCAGATGCCCCTGGGATAACGATTCAAACCCCGTCCTCCATCTTCTTCAGCAGCATCCAGTATCCCTGGATTTTCGCCGAAAATGCCGACGTCAAATTTGTTTCCCGGCAAACCACGACGAGTAGTTTAATTTGGAAGTTTAATCGGCAAAAATCCCGCGGAAACACGGTGTCACTTTTTGCATCAACAGTTTTTCGCAAATCCGGTTGCTGACAAAAAACCGGTCGGCGTACGGATTAGTTTTTTTCGAAGTCCTGATAACGGGTTGATTCTCTGGCCACAAGTACGGAAAGTATCGAGAGTCGAAAAAAATATTGTCCAGAAGCCCCTTCTCAATATCAAAAAAAACAAGGAAGTAAATCAGGAATACAGTACTTATAGCGCTTCTCGACCCGGTGCACTTTTTCAACTCGACCGTACGGTTGACGGGGATCGAGGGCGGTTCATTGGCGCTGCACACCGTTGCTCCGGATGGAACGGAAAAGTTTGGGTATGTTGGCAAAAACTACAGCACCCAAAAATTAAAATCATGTTAGAATTAAATCAATTGCTACCCATTGTTTGTAGACTTAACTTCGATAATGTTGGCGCCGATTTTACGATTTTAGCCAGCCGATTTGAGGTAAACTATCCCTAATTTTTAAACAATTGGCTTTTTAGGCAATTTTCACGCCAAATCTGACGGTTGATGCACCACGTGGCTATACCCTCGAAATTATTAACAATTTTGTGGAGCGATACACAGACAGTTGCAGTTATTACTACGAACTAACCAAGGAGGCGCCGTACGCTGCCGTGAATATGTATTCCCTTGCCAACGTGTGGGTTAAATTTCTGAAGTTTCTAAGGCACGGTTAATCCTTCAGATTATAGCCTTATATCTAAGTTTGAAATTTAGTGAGACACCAAACGTGTGCGTGGGAACATCTGGATTCCTTGACACGCAGGCCGTAAGAATCACATTTTGTGTCCGAGATCAGAACGCGGGTGTGTATTTGAATCGACGCCTATTCCGAATGACGGAGTGCCCGAATCAGTAAGAATTCGAAACTGCATTTTTAAACTATAATAACTACAGATCCAACCTGACCAATCTTAATCAGAGATGCTGTGAAATGACAGTAGAACTGGCGAATAGAGAATTCTATACTATACAAGATTCCGCGCAAGACAACTTTCTTTTGTTGCTGTTACAACTAGAGACTGCCATTCCAGGTTATACCCTTAAAAATGATGGAAAAGGTGTTTTAGAAGCCTTTGATATCATCCCGCTTTCGGCGGTCAACGCGTTCGACAATCAGTACCTTGTTGCGGCAAATGATGAAAATACCACGCAGCTGATCGTCATTTTGCCTTGGAATGTGGAATTTTGGACGGAGCTGGTGTATTTGCAATGGGTAAGCTTACTGCATTTGAGTGGTTTAATAAAGGCGTGCAGGCGCACGGTGCGATTAACTGCGAATATCGTTTGTATAGTGGAGCTGTTGTAGAAGAAGATCCCGAAAAAGTGTTGATGACTTTTAGGTATGAATTTTTAAGGATCGTATTACTTCAATTTATACACATTATGTTAGTAAAAGTATGCTTTAGAGACGCGGAGACTTTCTACCCGCAACTCCTCACCGGTGATACCTTTTCGATTTTTATCCCGCCCGGATGTAGCCCAACCTTGGTCTTCCGGCAAATCAGTACGTAAGACTTCAAGTTACGGATTTTTAAGCATCAGAATCAGATCAGAATAGTATCGCCAGGTTACGCTTTTCCAGGCTTGGTCAACCCGGTTTTGCAACAATGCCGTGGAGAAGCGCTAAATATTGGGTTTGGCTATGGTGACCCGATGCATCACGCCTATGACGATCGATTTTCGAGCTACGAATGGACTTGGCATTGCTGTGAGTGATTAAATTCATATCAATTAAAACCACTCGTTTAGTCGCCCCGGTTGATGTACAGTTTCAAGTGGTTGACCTAATAGCTGGTGAACTCTCCATCGAAGTGCAAGACATCAATAATCAAACCGTTGATAATGGAAAGTAAGCTTTACCTGTTTCTAGAGATGCTACTGTATATTTTGTTTAGCGTCGTCTTCCACCCAGCAGATTGGCAAACGCAACAAAACACGAGTTATCAAGGAGTGACGAAAATTACGGTAAAAAACCGTAACGTTGTTAGTTTCGAAAATTCTTAGGTAAGATGGAACAATCCGGATCAGAGTCCGCAGGGAGCTGCCACTGGTTTTCTGTCCAGAATTCATTTCGCCCTCCAAACGCCAAATACACTGATATTTGAACCAACCACTACATCACTTGAAAATTGTACAAAATCTCTTCAGTGTTTTTTCCCATTTCTTTTTTTAATCATGCTTGTATGGTGCGTAAAATTATGAATTTGCCTGTATTGGTATGATAAAGCGAAAGTACATTAGGACCGATTGGTGCTTGGGATTCACTGTAAAAGGAGTATCATGCCCGGTGAGCGTGGTAAGCACGTGTTGACGTGATCCCAGCCAGTACGGGCCGTAAATTGAATTTCGGCTGAATGGCTTAGGCACCCAAAATCTCGAAAAAAAGCTGGCTTTATGGTGCAATGAAATTGTGGTTGGTGGTCACACACGAGGGTGGAAAATAAACCGTAATGTATCGCATAGTCAAATAGTTTTATTGCGGCGATTTAACATTGGCGGAAGCAGTGCTAACCTGGAGTTGTCCACTGGCCGTAGCTGCGATGCTTGATGGTTCCTAAAAACAAAATATAGCGATTTTCGAAATTGTACTCGGGTTACCGTATATTTTGCCTGTCGCCACTGCAGCACCCTGATGATCGCTTTTCTATACGGACCGACAAAGTACAGCGAAAGGAATGGTGACAATACCGGGACCAGGCCGACTATCTGAAACTTTTGCGTATTCTGTAGCGTTTGAGCTTATTTTTTCGCCCAAACGAAATTATCAAAATATACGCTAAACATGCATAGCGCTCAAATTCATAGAGACAGGGTTCGCCGCCAACTTTTTTGGATCGAATCCCGCATTTTCCCACCTGAAAGACCAAATATTCCAAGAGCGGATGGTGCACAATTTGCAGCTGCTCCACAGAATAGCAAAATACGGCCACAGAATACACAAGGGGAAGGCCGGCTTGTAAAACAAGAGCCTAAAAATCGGCTGGTGATTTTCGGGGCCGAAATATTGTATCAACCTTTACAAGCGTTCGGTGGAATTTCTTTGTCTTGCTGCTCATAACACCCTCCTCGAGCGCTTTGAGAATTTTACTACGGAAAATGGTAATCGTGATGTAGACTGGAACGCAGGGTATTGTTAACCAGAGAATTGTGAATAGGATGAAGAAGTTTAGAATGGAGATGTGGCCAGAGACGGTAATGGTTTCATCTAGAGTATGGTATATCCATTAGCTAATAAAGATTTACCGGTCAGGTTGTAGCTCGGAAATTTTTCTACCATCAGCTGACGAACCATGGGTTCTGGATCGTCAGCGAATGAGAAGGACACCTTAAAGAATACTTTGAAAGTAAGTCTACCTTACCGCTTGAAAAAGTGAAGGTGAATATGCAAACAAGCAAATGAGAATTGAAACGAGGACACTTGGCGATTGCTTAAATTTTGACGAATTAAAAAACTATTGCCATCAACTGACCTTTTTTCAGAATATACCACCGATACCAAAAAGAGGGTACTAAGGAGACGAGACTGTGAGCATAGCAATGTAACATGAAAGAATAGCCAATATAACAGGCTTTATAACCCCAGTGCTGGCAGAAACCGTAAGAAATATACGTCAGTGACTTTCCATCGGGGATGATTCTGAAACAGTATTCATCAAATTTGTAGGCACCTAAGCTTCGAAACGTGTTTATTAAGTTTGTAGATATCTAAGCTGTTGAAAACCGGGATTTTTTTAAAGTTTCCAGGCACATAAGCTGTTGAAATCTTGGGCATTAATTCTAAGATACTTAAAAATTAAATATTGTATTGTAAGGTCAATAAATAACTTTAAGGTAACTATAAGGTATAACTTCAATAAAATCCAAATCCGAAAATTCAAAAACCCACCTCTGCATCACAAATATTGCGAAAAAACAAGCCGTAAAGTCGGTGAGCGCAAAATTCGCAATAAAAACTGCATATTTTCTCAAATTCGGCGGAGTTTTAGTGAATATCAATGTCAACAGTATTCCATTAACCGTCAATCCAATAATATTGAAGAACCAGTGACAAAATTCATTCAAAAAATCGACGTGCATAGCCGGAGGTTTCCCGGAAAACTACTGGGGGTCGCGGTGCGGGGGGATTCTAGGTTGCCCGGTGCGGTGGCGCGATTCCATTAGTGGGGCGCGATAATTGAGAATATGCTGTGTGGTCCGGCGATTCACGGAAAAAGTCTAATTATAAGCGGAAAATGGGTGGAGGGTGTGTGTATGTGTTGCGAAGAAGTATTTATTACGCTAATGGGGTGTCGTTTTGGACATGGCGATTTTGTGGGCAGTTTCTAGTAGAAGTCAACAAGGGTGCTTTGGGTGATTTTATAGTTAGAACCAGGGTTGAAAAGCCGCTTCGCGACTTTTCAACCCTGACCCCGTCTAACCCGCAATATTCTTCACTCTGCATACGTCTCTCGAATCCCGATAAGAAAAATGAAAAATGACACTCTCTACCTGATTATATAGGCTACCCCTCACTTCCGGTGCATGCTAATTGTTTACTAACAAAGAGGGTGCCCGAAATTTTTACAAAAACTGAGATTTTATGTTGAAAACAATTAATTTTGTAAAATCTGAGAAGCGTGCAGTCATCCCAGAGCCATTACGCACCTAATGACGTATCATACACATCTTAAAAGCCTTCCCCTATCGAGATATTCCCCGGACATGGTGACCGAAGTCGCATGCAAAGTAGCACAGACACACACACAGACACTACTTTTTTATATATAGTAGTATATGTACAGAATCAGTTCCATTATTAAATCAGCACGTCCGATACAGAACAATCTATCTATTATCTACCATAATAGTTTTGCTTTGGTGTCTGTCATGTCCCGAATTCAACTCAAAGGGGAAAGGAGCTAGCGCTTAGCTCTCTTCGGAATCGGATAAACCGTGGTCAGAAACCCCCCACGAATAAAAAAATTACAAAAAATATTTTCTTTAAATTATTAAAATTAACTTTGAAAGTTTTTCCTTAGTAAAAGGGGTTGGGGACGGAGGTATTCATGATTTTGGACATAGTGAGCCAGGTCGCGCGTGTTTCAGGCTGAAAATTTGCACCGGAGCTATTTAATTTCTTTTTTTTGCTCACACGTATCCGGTCGGTCGTTATTTTCGGTTTTTAAAGGGATTTCGGCTAGGGGAAGTATCTAATGCCATCAGGAAGGGATCGAAGTAGCTTTTTAAGGGGATTTTGTCTTGGGGAGGTATCTGAAGCGGTGAGCGTCGTTAGTCATGGAGGTAGGGAAGGATGTAGTGGTGTAGGACACAAGGATAGCCCGCAGGTCAGATGGTTGCAGTCGCGAAGCGACCGGAACTTTTAAAAGATCAGAATCGTCAAAATTTATGTCGTAGAAGTGGGGTAGGGCTGAATCTCTTGCTTCTCTGCCGTCGCCCCGACACTGGAGTGACCCTAAATCCCATTTAAGCGATAAAGCAACTTTGCCCATCCAATTATCTAGCTCAGTACAAAAAGACGTCCAACGCCCTCTTTGCTTTCAATAAGGGCTTCTCACTCCTCATTTTCCAAGCTTTTCAAGGGAATTGATATCAACTAATTTATTCCGTTAATGGCTGTGATTGTCAAAGAATATTTTCCTATCGTAATCAATCCAGGGTTGAAAGCGCTTCGCGACTTTTCAACCCTGGCCCCGTCTGACCCCATTTTATCCTTCACTTTGCATAATTGTCCTAAATTCAGATGACAAAAATGAAAAACAACCTCTTCTGTGCCTTTATATAGTCGAATCACCACTTCCGGTCTATGCTAATTATTTCCTAACAAAGAAACTTTCACAAAAACTTAAATTTAATGTAAAAAATGGCTGATTTTGTAAAATTTGATATGTGTGCAGTCATCTCAAGACCATTGCACCTAATGACGTATCAAACATACCCGTAACTTCCTCCCTATAGAGATATCCTCCGGACAGACAGACGGAAGTGGATGCAAAGTGGCACACACACACACAAACACTATTTTTTATATATATTTTTTTATATATAGTAGGATATAATATCAAATGGCTGCAGCGGTGCTGGCGGGGAGTTGCTGACTCGTCGCAGTCGCCCCAACGCTCGAAACATCCTAAAATAATGTTTTTCCGCAGGAAGTTCTCGAACTTACCTTAAAATATTTGCTCTGTGTGTTCTTGAGGCCTCGGCCGATCGCTTTGCGGTAGGGAGCGACAAAATACAGTGACAGAAAGGGAGACAATACCGGGACGAGGCCGACTATCTAAATGTTTAGGTAATGTTTCGTCTGACATGAAAGATCCTGCTTATTTACTCGCATCATTACCTGAAAAGCTAGATACTCCAACACTGGGTGGTGCATAATTTGCAGCTGCTCCACCGAATAGCAGAATACGGCCACAGAATACACGAGAGGCAGCCCGGCCTGAAGCACCACGGCCTAAAAGATCAAGGTTCGGTATATGGCTCATTAATGACGAGATGAGATGTGGCTATTTTCATCGATTTCCTTTTTTCCATTCCATTCCCTTACCTTGACAAGAGTCCGATGCACCTCCTTGGTCTTGCTGCTCATCACCGCCGCTTCCCAACGTCTTCAGAATTTTGCTCCGAAAGATGGTGATCGTGATGTAAACAGGAGCGCATGGTATTGTCAGCCATAAGATTGTGAACAGGATGAAAAAGTTGAGAATTGAGACATGGCCCGAGACGGTGATGCTGTGATCTAAAAGCGAGACGTTTTCGATAGCAGGTGGCACCTTGCCTGTCAAGTTGTAGCTCGGAAATTTTTGGATCATCAGCTGGCGCACTAATGGCTCGGGATCATCGGCGAAAGAGAAAGATACCTTAAAAGAGATCTTTATCGTTTTATGTTACTTAAAAGCTTAAAGAAGTCGTTGCCAATCCCACCGCTTGGAAGAATGAAGGCGAATATGCGAATAGACAGACGCCAATCGAAACGAGAACCCCTGGTGAGGGCTAAAATTTTTGTGATTTTGAAGCAGAGAATCAACTTACTTTTTTCAAGATATACCACCTATACCAAAATGATGGTACGAGAGACACGAGACTGTGCGCATAGCAATGCAGCATAAAAGAGTAGCCAATATAACAGGCTTTATAGCCCCAGTGCTGGCAGAAACCGTACGAAATGTAGGTTAGTGACTTTCCATCCGGGATGATTCTGAAATAGTGTTTATTAAGCTTGTAGGTATCTCGAGTTCTTGAAAATGTGTTAACTACGTTTCTAGATACTTAAGGCATAAGCCTGGTTATTAGATTTCGAGATATCCATGGTTTTGGAATGCCTTTAGACTAGAGACACATAGGCCTTTAGTTGCCTCAGCTTTTTATTTTGTTAGTAGTTTTTCCCTTAACATCAAGTTTCTAGATATCCGAAGGTTATAAACACCAACCTCTGCATAACAAATATAGCCAAAAAGCAAGCAGTAAAATCCGTAAATGCAAAATTTGCGATAAAAACGGCATATGTCCTCAAAGCAGGCGGGGTTTTGAAGAATATAAGCGATAGCAACAAGGTGTTAACTGATAGCCCGATGGCGTTGAAGAACCAATGACAAAACTCGTTGATAAACTCGACGCGCATTTGTAAAGCTGGGGGTTTATGTGCAAAGTGTGTAGGTCGGAAGTTCAAGGTGGCTGGTCGCACAGGTGCAATGCGATTAGGTGGCAGAATGGAAGCCGTGCGGCCGATATTTATCCATTAGCTTTTGCTGAAAAAATTGTATAGAGTGATTGCAGAATCAGCTGTATGGTCTTAATTGGGCGTGTTGGACTTTTGCCCTAACGCGTGTTTTTTTTGGTGATGTTGCCTACGGTATGAATTTTTGAATGAATTTTATGATTTTTTTGGAACAAGAAATTTTTGGCTAGCTTTTATATATGCATAAACTAAAGATGTATGCGGAAGTTTAGGAAAAACACACAATTTCCCTTTTCCTAGTAAATCAAGGCCTAAGCTCTCATTTAAATGCGTAATCGTTTATAATTATGCTATTATGAAGCGGTGAAGGCGTTGTGCGCCCGGCCCCAAAAAAGTAGCATAATTCCGAGACAATACCTTTCGGCTAAACCCCAGATTCCCCCCAGCCAGCTCGACTCCCATATGCCCTATTAATGCGCGGAGTATCTCAAAATGTTCGCCGTGGTTTGCAAAACCTAACGGAAAGTAGTTTGGATTCGCCGAAAATCCCAGAAAATTCTTTATATAATTTTTCGCAAAACTTTATACAAGCCCAAGCTTAAAATTTTCGACGTCGATTTTCGTCTTTTTCGTGATTTTTCGCCCCAAATTAAACGTTTTCGTATTCTCCAGGTCAAGAGCTACATTTTGGACCCTTACCAGCCGTGTATGACAAACGAGAGCCGAGATACCAATTTCGACTTTGGATCAGGAAAAATTAACACAGGCGACCCAAACTTATAATTCTTATAAAAAAATTTATAGCAATTTTTGAGGGAACCAAACAACTTTCCGTTAGGTTTGAGACCACGGCGAACATTTTGAGATGCTCGGCGCACTAATAGGACTTATGGGGGCCGAGCTGGCTGGGGGGTTATCTGGAGTCTTACCCACCTTTCAATTAAACGGGGTCATTAGACAGGCGAAAGCAGGCCTGATATTTGTCATCAGC